CTTCCTCCTAGGGTCCGGGCCCTGCTCTGAGCTGGGCCCCGGCCCTGCGTCCACCTCCATGGCGCCTCCGCCAGCGCCAAACCCCCACATTTATTGATTTGCAAATATTGTACCAGCCTTGGATCCCTGGAATAAGTCCCACTTAATCATGGTGTGTGATCTTTTCAATATATTGCTGGATTCAATTTCCTAATATTTTGTTGAGGATTTTAACATCTATGGCCACCTGGGATATTGGCCTGTAATTCTCTTTCTTTATAGTGTCTTTATCTGGTTTTGGAATTAGATAATGCTGGCCTCATCAAAGAGCTTGGAAGTGTTATCTTCCTCTTGGAATTTTTGGAATAGTTTGAGGAGGATAGGTGTTAGTTCTTCTTTGAATATTTGGTAAAACTCCCCTGTGAAGCCATCTGGACCGGGGTTTTTGTTTGGTGGGAGTTTTTTTTTTATTAGTGCTTCAATTTCATCCATTGTTATTGGCCTGTTCAGGTTTTCTGATTCTTCCTGATTCAGTTTTAGGAGATTATATTTTTTTTAGGAATTTGTCCATTTCATCCACATTGTCCAGCTTGTTGGCATATAGTTGTTGATAGTATTTTCTTACAATCCTTTGTATTTCTGTGGTGTAGTTGTTACTTCACCACTTTCATTTCTGATTTTATTTATTTGGGTCCTCTTTGCTTCTTGATGAGTGTGGCTAATGGTTCATCAATCTTGCTTATCTTTTCAAAGAACCAGCTCTTGGTTTTATTGATTTTTTGTATTTTTTTTAGTCTTTTTGTCATTTATTTCTGCTCTGATTTTTATTACTTCCTTCCTTCTACTTACTCTTGGATTTTCTTGGTGTTCTCGTTCTAATTCTTTAAGTTGTTGGGTTAAATATTTTATTATTATTATTTTTTTGTTTTTTGAGGTAGTCCAGTAGTGCTATGAACTTCCCTCTCAGGATTGCTTTTGCTGTGTCCAGAGATTTGCATTGTTGTGTGTTCACTTTCATTTGTTTCCAGGAAGTTTTTTTATTTATTTCTTGATCTCTTTGGTAACTCATTCATTGTTTAATTACATGCTATTTAGCCTCCATGTGTTTGAATGTTTTTGAGTGTTTTTACTGTAGTTGATTTCCAATTTCATTCTATTGTGGTTCGATATGATACTTGATATTATTTCAATCTTCTTGAACTTGTAGAGACTTAGTTTGTGTCCTGAAATGTGGTCTATCTTTAAAAATGCCCCATGTGTGAAAAGAATGTATATTCTACACCTTTGGGGTGAAATGATTTATAAATATCAATTAAATCCATCTGATCCAGTGTGTCATTTAGAGTCACAGTTTCCTTGTTAATTTTTTGTCTGGAAGATCTATCCAGTGATGTTAGCAGGATGTTAAATTCCCCTACTATGTCTGTATTGTTGTTGATCTCTCCCTTAAAGTCCTCTAGAAATTTTTTTATATATTTAGGTACTCCTATGTTGGGTGCATACATGTTTACCAACATTATAGCTTCTTATTGGATCAATCCCTTTAGTATTATGTAGTGATCTTTGTTGTCTCTAGTGATAGCCTTCATTTTGAAGTCTATTTTGTCAGATATGAGTGTTACCACCTCAGCTTTTTTTCGTTTCCATTTGCATGGAAAAAAATTTACCCTCCCTCTGCTGGAGCCCAAGGTGAATAGCTGCACATGACATTTTGTGCATTGGCCCTTTAAGAGGGTGCCTGCCTTTCTAGCCACCTCTCCCATCAGACATCAACCCTGCTACTTTTCGCAGCTAGATGTTATGTGGGCACTTTTCTCAGTTCTGGTGCTCTCTGATGGAGGGGGGCCCATCTTGGGGTTTTAACCCCAGAGTTCTCAGTGGCAACCGCCACAGCTGAGATATCTCTCTGGAACTTCAGCTGCTGTCTGTGGGAGTCCAGCCAGCCCATTTGCACCTCTGCCCTTCCTACTGGTCTCTATGCTGTCTCCACTTTCTGTCCTCAGTTATCAGGGTTCTCTCCAGCTAGTCTTTTTTTTTTTTTTTTTTTTTTTTTTTTTTTTGGTATTTTAGTTGTAATTCCAGTTTGGTCCTGGGATAATGTCTGTGTAGCATCCATTTACTCTGCTGCCATTTTTAATCCCTCATGTTGACTTTTAAACAAAATCAAGACAAAACCTTCAACTTAAAATATAATAAAATTTTGTAAAATTTCAGAATTTTTAACGTAAGTGATTTCTTTCAACAGAAGTCATAATCTAGTACTCAGGTGTATTTCTTTTTTTTATAAAATATATATATTTTTTATTTCAGAGAGGAAGGGAGAGGGAGAGAGAGATAGAAATATCAATGATGACAGAGAATCATTGACTGGCTGCCTCCTCTAATGCCCACTACTGGGGATTGAGCCTGCAACCCTGGAATGTGCCCAGACTGTGCCTCAAACTCTGACCTCCTGGTTCATAGATCAACACTCAAACACCGAGCCACACTGGCTGGGCTCAAATGTATTTCTTTGGTGATCAGCTCTTTATCATTTTAGGTCAAAGTTGGAATATCTAAGACTAGTGAAATTCAGTCTGCACAACCATTAACATCTTTACAAATGATAGTCTCTGTAGTGAGGTCAGCACTCTCCAGATACCGAAGTCCTCACCACTCTCTACTGCCTTCCCTTCAGCTTTCGTTGTCAATTTCCTGCTTGTTCCTCCAAAGCATTTCCATTGCAACTTCTGTCTTAGCTATGACATTGATGTCTCACCTCTTTTGCTCCTCTGATGTGATGAAAGCATTGAATCAAGAAACTAACAGGGAAGTCCTGCCATAGATTTCACCTCATGGCCTGTCTTGTTTTCAGAGTGTGAGCACAAGGAGACAAAATACTGGAAGAAGCTCACCTCTCATCACCCCAGGGATGCAAATTAAAATAAGATATCTTTATGCTTCAAACCTCTCAAGTTTGAGTAAGTATAAAAATTGATGATATTTAAGGTTGGTGAAAGTGTGAAGAACTAGGTTCTCTTGTTTGCTTTCATAAGTTGATGTCATTTTTTGGTCCAGCTAATGGGAAATGTTCACCATTTTGATTATATAGTTTGTCCCAAAAATGTGTACACACACTTTGAATGATTATAAAGGCAGTGTTTATTAAAATACATTTCATTTTCAAAATTGGGCTATCAGCTGTTAAAGTATGTATACAATTTTTTTGGGACACCCTGTATATATTTCACATATTTAAATATTTTTATTGTTACTGTTTGTGGTAGGAAACTTAAAAATAACCTAAATGTTGATCAATTGGGAAATGTTTAATCACAGTATTATGTATACAAACAAGTAAAGTTGCCTAGCATTTACGGCTGAGTCAAAAAGCAAAATCTAGAACAATATGCATAGTATGATCTCATTAAAAGCCAGAATACTGGTAAAATAAAAGTACTTCATCTATATATTTTGATGAATGGA